ATTCCCTGTATAGATCGCAAAATTACACCCCAATTCATTGAACCCCAATTCAACTCCAATCTCAGGATTTTCACCCCATTTTAGCCCAATTCATCAATTAACCCATTTAACCCAACTTTCAAATTTTGACCCCAAATTTTAACCCTAATTCGTATCAATTCCACCCCATTATGCTCTAACTTCTTTAAAATTACACATTGACCCCGGATTTTACCAAATATATCACATTAACCCCCAAAACTTTTTTTTTCAGAAAATAATGTGTTTTTTTGAAATATTTTTTTTCCGGCCAGATTCCGGCGTTGACCGCCGGAGACCGCCGGTCTCCGGCGTTGACTATTTTTTTTTTTTTTTTTTTTTTTGAATTTTGTTTTCCTGAAAAAAAATTTCCGGCCGGTCAACGGCCGTTGACCGCCGGGTCTCCGGCGTTGACTCTTTTTTTTTTTTTTTTTTCTTAAAAAAATATTTTAATTAATTTTACTGTCTAGGCTGCTAAATTACTGTCCCCGGCAGCTATTTAACTGTCGGAGACAGTAATTTAACTGTTAATTGACTTTTTTATTCTTAAAAAAAATATTTTTAATTAATATTACTATATTCGTTGCTAAATTACTGTCTCCAGCAGTTATTTAACTGTCGGAGACAGTAATTTAACTGTTAATTATCTTTTTTATTCTTAAAAAAAATATTTTTAATTTTATATTACTATATTCGTTGCTAAATTACTGTCTCCAGCAGTTATTTAACTGTCGGAGACAGTAATTTAACTGTTAATTGACTTTTTTATTCTTAAAAAAAATATTTTTAATTAATATTACTGTATTCGTTGCTAAATTACTGTCTCCAGCAGTTATTTAACTGTCGGAGACAGTAACTTAACTGATAATTGACTTTTTTATTCTTAAAAAAAATATTTTTAATTAATATTACTGTATTCGTTGCTAAATTACTGTCTCCAGCAGTTATTTAACTGTCGGAGACAGTAACTTAACTGTTAATTGACTTTTTTTTTTTTTTTTTTTTTGTTTCCCTTAAAAAAAATTTATTTTAATTAATATTACTGTCTTGGATGTTAAATTACTGTCTCCAACAGTAATTTAACTGTCTCCAACAGTAATTTAACTGTCTTAGACAATAATATTAATAATATTACTGTTCGGAAAAATAATATTCATAATATTACTGTCCCAAACAGTAATATTACTGTTTGAGACAGTAATTTAGTAGTCAAGACAGTAATATTAATTAAAATATTTTTTTTCTAAGAAAAAACAATTCAAAAAAAAAAAAAAAAAAAGTCAACGCCGGAGACCGGCGGTCAACGGTGGTTGACCGGCCGGAAAAAAAAAATCAGGAAAAAAAATTTCAAAAAAAAAAAAAAAAAAAAAAAAAGTCAACGCCGGAATCTGGCCGGAAAAAAAACAGTTCAAAAAAAAAATTATTTTATGAAAAAAAAAAGTTTTGGGGGTTAATGTGATATATTTGTTTAAATCCGGGGTCAATGTGTAATATTAAGGAAGTTAGAGCATAATGGGTGGAATTGTTAAGAATTATATTATTGAGGGTATTTTAGACTAAAGACATGGGGATGGGCTTAATTGAGAGACTGTTTTTTTTGTGGACTAAAATGCATTTAAGTCCCATGTGATGGGCCTTTTTGCCATTTGCCCTTACACTATTACTTAAATACAATTATAAAATATATAGTTTATACTGCAATTGCAATTAATTATTATTACCCATAAATAAATATTTAATAAAAGAAATCAAAACCCTCGAAAACACGAGATTTATTTATTTTCCCTCCTCTCCGAAATCTGATTTCTCACTAACACTCTGTTTTTTCCCCCTTTAGCCAGATCAAAGAAACCCGGCCCGGCCCGAAAACCCTCACCATTTCTTCATCATCTTCGCCATTTAGAACCAGAAAAAAATATTCGTTGGGACCAGAACCGGAAATTAAAGAGGGGAAAAAGGACAAAAAAAACTTTGCACTAAATTTCACAAACCGACGTGCCCTTTTGTGTGTAGCCATTTTGTGCTGCAGTGTTTACAAATGTCGTTTTCTGAAATTAAATTGCGAAGTCGAATTCTTTCGAAACTGTAATCTTCGTTGATTTTATTTTTTTTTTTTTTTTTTATTTTTTATTTTTTTATCCGTGGGGAAATCTGATTTCTCACGAGAAGAATTTTGCCTGGGTATTTTTGATTTATTTATTATTTGTTCGGGTTTCATTTGGGTGGGTAATTTTTTGTTTGGCGGTTCATTTGTAAAAACCCCAGGATTTGAAGATGCCCAATTAATCTCATCTGGGTTTATCTTGAAATCCCCCCAGCATTTCCAATTCACAATTATATATATTTTTTTTAAATTCCCAGAATTTTGTGAATTGCCGCTTAGTTTTTCATTTTTGATTTTTTTTTCCAAAAATGGTGAATGATGATAACTATAGTAATCAAGAAGAGGGGAAAGGGAATAAAAACCCATCAACCATCTCCAGAGGCGGCGGCGGTGGTGGTGGTGGGGGTGGGGGAGGAGCCACCAGGTCATGGGGCACCACAGTTTCCGGCCAATCTATGTCGACTAGCGGCAGCGTGGGTTCCCCATCCAGCCGGAGCGAAGCTCCGGTAGCGACTCCGGCGAGCGACAGCACATTTATCCGATTAAACAATCTCGATATCCAAGGGGATGATGCTGGATCTCTAGGGCCTGCTGGGTGAGCCTTTGTGTTTTTTAATTTATTCATTATTAATTTTTCTTAAATGTAATTGTTGATTAATCTAAGTTCCTTATACGGAAAACTACAATCTAGACGGTATACGATACTTTGAATTGCGTCGGTTTAATACTTTGACCTTGTTAGTTTAATGTATGTGAGTGAATGAATACAACTTGCTAAATGTTATGCGAATGTGTGGTAAATTCCGGGAAAAAAAAAAGGGTTATTCGATTATGCCCGTTTTTTATTAAATGTGTAGAACATCTTTCTAATTAGATGTCGGAATGGTGTAAAAGAGACATCGATACATCGCGCACTGCACGTATGTACTTTGAGTGAATGTAGTGATTCTAGTTGTAGCTTGATTAATCATCTACGAAAAGTATTGTTTCTAATTTATAATAATTTTACGAGCAACAGGAAGAAGAAGAGAGGCCAACGTGCAGTCGGAGGCGATAAGAATGGCCGAGGGCTTCGTCAGTTTAGTATGAAAGGTTTTTTGCTAATCTCTCTCATTTTCTCGTTCTTTAATTCCGATTTTTCTGATTTAGAAATATTGAATTTCTTGTGGTTAGAAAATATTCATTAAGGTGTATTTTCTCTAGATAGTTGATCGTAGTAAATAGCAATTGGACCACATTGTTGTAAAGTTATCCTCTCTCTCGAGATGCCTTTAACGCAGTTACATTTGGAGAACATTAGTTAAATTCTCCATTAAATGATATTAGATGAAGAGAATTAAAGATGAAACCTTAACTCAGAATAAGAATAAGAACCGGAATCTTTTTGAAGTTTAAAACCCCTTATTTAATTCTATGGCCGAGTTACAAGATGTAGTCAGAATACATGTCATAAACGAGTTGAACTGGTGAACTCGTTCATGTATCTTTCTCTATATCACCATACATGCCATATATCAACCACATTTCGTACTATTACATTAGCTGTGACTATTACATGTAAATGTATCTTTTCCCGGTTTTTGTATGATTGGTTTGATAGTGGGTAGTAGTAGGATTAATTACGAAGGATTTGGTGTTGCAATTTAATATCTTCTAAAACAGCCAAATGCTTGTAAGATACACGACACACGTTTTACGGAGTTCGAAGTAATAGTTAATGTTTCTTTTTCTCTCTCCTAATTAGGCATCATGTGACGCCGCCGGACACGACATGGCGTTTCATTGCAATTTATTAAATTTCAAAATTTGAGACCTCTAAATTTTACGTGAAAGAGTGATTTGAGTTTTGTATGATGTTTATCTGCTTGTGGTCACTCCAAAATCTTTCAAATTAATTGGAATGATTCTTCGTTTGTTGGTTTTATACCTTTATTAGGCTGTGTTTGTGTAACATATGGTACACATTTACGTTTTCTGAGATGATTGATGTATGTCGATTATGGTTAAAAACGAGGGACCCCACATGCCATTCTTTTTTTTAGGTACTAATGCATAATGATTAATATGAATTACGTAATGATTAATCTTTCCGTCTTCTTGTGGACAGTGTGCGAAAAAGTCGAAAGCAAAGGGAGAACTACATATAACGAGGTCAGAATTTCCTATATGAATTTATACAATACACACACACACACACACACACACACACACACACATATATATATATATATATATATATATATATATATATATATATATATATATATATATTTAGGATCATTTAACTCATGCATTAACTATCTAAACTCGACATAGTTTTCGTTTGTCCAGGTGGCGGATGAACTTGTTACTGAATTTGCAGATCCCAACAATAATCTTGCATCTCCAGACCAGGTTTTTTAAACATTTTATTTTTCTGCGTACTTTTTGTTCTAATACGTAAAGCTATATTTAATTGTGTGTATATATATATATTGCAGCAACAATATGATGAAAAAAATATACGTAGAAGGGTATATGATGCTTTAAACGTGCTAATGGCGATGGATATTATTTCGAAAGATAAAAAAGAAATACAGTGGAAGGGTCTACCTCATACAAGCTTGAACGACGTTGAGGAGTTGAAGGTTTAAATTGCTTCCCTTATATTATCCCCTTTATTTATTTTTTTATATGCCAAATATTGTCGATTTATATCAGCTAATTAACTTTTTATTGCCATTTAAAATTTAACTGTAGACTGAGCGTATTGGACTTAGAAGTAGAATCGAAAAGAAAGCAGCTTATCTTGACGAGCTCGAGGAGCAAGTACGAGATCTTCTTGAGATTATTACATTTATCCCAAAAAAAAAAAAAATCTTAATTTTGATGTGCATGTTATATCTCGATAAAATGACGTTTTTACCCCCCTGTTCATTGCTGTTTTGCTGCAGTACATTGGTCTTCAAACCCTCGTACAGCGAAACAAGCAACTATATGGCTCGGGAAATGCTCCAAGTGGTGGAGTGGCTTTGCCTTTTATTTTGGTGCAGGTAAGATTTAATTCGGTATTTTGAAAAATACTAATATTTTTTTTTTGGAAATTTATTTTTTCGTGTTTTTTTTATTTAATTAATAATGCGTGTTAAACTGTAGACTCGTCCTCACGCAACCGTAGAAGTGGAAATATCAGAAGATATGCAGCTGGTGCATTTCGATTTCAATAGGTACGGAAAATTATATTACGAGCTTTATATAAATAGTTTTTCTGCAAGGTATCTATTATCTGATTTATTAAAAAAAAAAATGAAAATCAATATACAGAGCAATTTTTATTATTACATGCATTCATTCTTTTGTGTGCTTATTATTATTTTGATTTGATTTGCAGCACTCCTTTCGAGCTACACGACGATAATTACGTTCTCAAGGCAATGAAATTTTGTGAGAGAACACATGTCGGTGGTGGTGCAGGAAGGAATATTCCGGCAGATAGTGGTGGTGCAAGCTCCAGCATGGCCACATTGTACCACCCGCATCGTTCTAGGTCAAATATCTCAGGTAGGCCACCCCCCTCGCCCCCCCTACCCGGAATTATAAAAGCTCGTGTTAAGCACGAACATTAGTTTCTCTTACATAGAAAAAAAAAGGCTTCAATTTCTTCAGTAAAACTACATTTGTATATTGTGTAAAATTTACTAGACGGGCTTGTTTGTAAGCCTTCTATTTTTATCTTAGGAAATATTTCGTTTATCGATTTGGTAATATTCGGGCATTTAATAATATATTATTTTCCTTATGTTTTTTTTTTTTTTTGGTTTTTTAATCTTATTTCATATTCATACTACCTCACCTTTTGAATTATATCGGGTGTCTATTAACCGTTATTTTTATATCCATAAATAGGTTAAACTGTAGGGTATAAATTACAACCGCCCCTAAGGTAAAGTCTATTAACAAAAAACCCCTCTCATTTTTAGTAATTACATCCATCCTCAGTAATTTGTAGATTTCTTACATTAACACCATTTATAGGGTTGTGGATGTAAGAAATTATACTTATCAATGTAAGAAATTATTATTATTATTATTATTATTATTATTGAGAATTAATTAAGAAATGAAGAATTTATGTTGAATAGTCGACGACAATTTCTTGAAAAGGACTTTACTATGTTGCATTTGTCAGTGTTGGCCTACGATATTAAGACCTGCTACCTTAATACAACTAACATACTGACATTGTATTTTATTACAATTCAAAATCTACACACCTAAATCTCCAATTCACTTTATTTTTTATTTTTTTTTATTATTATTATTTATTTATTTATGTTTTTTGATTAAAATACCATTTTAGCCTTGTAAGTAATCATGGCTACGTTTTTCGTCAAAGAAAATTTTAAATCGTAAACTCTAAATTTCACTTTATTTCATTAACGATCCATTTCATTTCTGACAATTAAGTTTATATTATCTTTTGCGGAGTGAGTTTGTATTATCAGATTTGATTTGTATGAATGTTGATATTATTACTGTATTTTAAATATCACAAATAAATTTTATTATAATAGTGTAAGATATTTTTCTTACCAGAGCATTTTCACATTAATTGTTTTCCTACCACCAATTTATGATGAAATTAAAACGTGGACCCAAAAACTTTCTTCTTTTTTCTTTTTTCATGTAAAAATTAAGAAACCAGCCAACTACCAAGAATTGTACCAGAAAATGCCACGTTGGACATTCGAATTAATTTAAATTATATGAGATTGAATTAACCACATGTTGTATTTTACTAAGTGTACGTTCTACAATTCCAGATAAATATTGGTAAACTTTCAAGTTTCAGGTAAATAATTAAAATTGAAAAATAAAAATAAATAAAGTACGTAATTCAAATCAGTGTACAATGATTAAATTCATGTTTGCATTTAGGATGGATTCCAAATAACCAACACTAACATGATACTGTACTTGCAATTTATATACCAAATTAGACATGTTCTTATAAACCTGATTTAGGTTTACCTTGAAAATAAATTAATTTAATATATGTTTGCTTTATTTCTCTTAAATTAAATTAAAAGTTGTTCTATAAATATACATTGATTGCTTAAAGTTGATTTTTTAGGACATTCCAACACCCGAATTTTTAGAAATAAAAAAATACTCTAAGTTTTACGAAAAATACCCTAAACCCACCTCAAACTTAGACTAAATTATAAAAATACCCCCATCTATCCATAATTACCAAAATCCCTAATGTTTGTTTCCATCTTACACTGACGCCTTATGTAATTGTTTACGATTATTCCAGGGAATATTTCACGAAAAATGACGATTATATCTCTACAGACGTGACATTTCTTTATCCTACTTTTTAAATTAAAATTATTCTCAGGGGACTTTACACGGAATTTTAATTCTTCTTTAATAACACATTCACAACTTTTTAGAATTACCATTGTATTACCCCTCTGAGGGTAATTTTTATCTTTAAAAAGTAGCCTAAAAAAATGACACGTTTGCAGGGGTAGAACTGACATTTTTCAGGAAATATTACTTGAAATAAAAAAGATTCTGTGAAAAATTACACCATAAAGGGGTCAGTGTAAAAGGAAAAAAAAAAGTCAGCGGGGTTTTGATAATTACGATTAGGTGAGGTATTGTTTGTAATTTAGCCTAAGTTGGGGGATATATTCGTAATTTAATCCTATTTTATTAGAATAAATAGCCACAAATGAAATTAATACTGTTAACACGTGTCGACCGTCCAGTAACATGGTGACGGGATACTATCGTTAGGCTAATGACGTCACTCACTTAACGCGCGTCAATGACGTCGGGCCCATCAAGTTATACAGTTCACGCGCCACTCTATGCGTGGTTCGGGTTCAGAACATGAATTATTTCATTAATTGATTTTTGTTTAGTAGTAAGGTTAAATTACAGTCACCCATTGAGGTAAGGTATAATTACGAAAAAAATCCCTCTTGTTTGTATAATTACAACCACCCCTCAACTATATATTATCTTACACGTCCATCGTTACGATGTCAAATTGATCTAGTGGCTTGGGGTGTTCATTCGGCCGGTAAACCGATCGAATTGAACCGAATGAAAATTTGTACATGCCGATTACCGAACCGTTATTTCGGCGTGGTATTCAGTTTTATTTTATTATATATATATATATATATATATATATTAGTATTTAAACTGAAATTAACCCCAATTTCTGTACAATTTTACTAATTATTTTTTTTAGTGAAAATATATTTTACCGTAGCAGTTCAAATCATGTCGGATGAGATATAAATTTTGAAATTCATTAACGAGAGAAAAAATGAGAACCGAACATTTCTTCTCATTAATTAATTTCTTGGTTAATTTAAAAACCAAATTCCTAAAACATGTTCCGAATATTTCCTAGATATTTTCAATCACTATTTAAAGAATAGAATGTCTACCGGTCCTATATATATATAGGAACTGTAGAGAAAAAACCTAAAATCTGTGCTATATAAGTAAAAAAAGAAAAAA